ATTTATTACTTCAGAACCTATACTTTCATGCCTCAGTACTACTGCTCCTTTGTTTCTTTAGTCCATCCATTAGTTAAAAAGTATTTATAGGCCCTAGCCGGCTTGGCTCAGTGGATAGAGCATCAGCCTGCAGACTTAAGGGTCCCAGGTTCGATTCCGGCCAAGGGCACATACCTGGGTTGCGGGCTCAATCCCCAGTGGGGGGCATGCAGGAGGCAGCCGATCAATGATTCTCTCTCATCATTGATGCTTCTGTCTCTCTCTCCTTCTCCCCTCCTCTCTGAAATCAATAAAGAAATATATATTTTTTTAAAAAGTATTTATAGGTCAGGTAACAATGAATAAGACAGATTCAGTTTCCACCCTCTTAATGTTTACCACCTCTCCCCCTTTTCCATCCTGGTATTAAGTAGTATCTGCTGTGTGCTAGGCACTCTGTTAGGCACTGAGGGCTCAAGAAGAAATAAGATGAGGTCCTTGTCCTCAAGGGACGTACCGCCTGGGGTAGTAGAAGCTGTAGGGTATGGGGAGACAATCGTAGAAACAGATGTGTAAATAAAGGGTCCCAGGTCCGGATATTAAAGTTCTTACAGGGTACATGGGGCCGTAAAGCAGAGGGAATGGTCAGTTCTGCTTTGGAGAGTAAGAATGGTTGTACTGTGTTTACCAAGAGGATTGTACACTGTTAAAAGAATAAACAGTCTGTTTTGAATATTAATATGCAGTTTTCCCAAATATACATGATAATAAGTAGGCCAACGTGTTTTCCAACGCCTGTTTGAATCATCTCAAACGTCCTATTAAACTTCACATTCGAATAGTCTGTGAAGCCCTTTATAGAGACAAAGTAAGTAGGTAGCAGTTTTATCTTGCAGTGAAGGCAGCCTGCGTTTCTGTACATTAATCACCTAGGCTTCTTCCAGAGACGCTTTTTCACCCACTGATGATTTTTCAGGCCCAAGTGGCTGCTCTGGATCACATGCTCCGCAGGAGAAGAGCAGGAGCCGCCAAGAAGGGCTGATGCAGGCACTCAGGGCCGTGCTGGGCCCACATGAAACAAGGTTTACAGTGGTGGGATTTGGAGAAAATGTGGGTGAGGCTGTTTGGAACAGGGATCAGAGAATAGCCATTGCTGGGCTTTTCCTTAGAGAATCCCAGAATCCAACACTATAACCCGAGTACTGGATCCTTCTCTTTCAAGCAAAGATTATCCTTATCTTTCAGCTAAGATTGAACCCACTTTTAAAAAATACGTTTTCATTGATTTTAGAGAGAGAAGATGGGAGAGGTAGCGAGAGAAAGAAACATAGATGTGAGAGAGAAACATTGATGAGTTGCCTCCTGTACCCACCACTATCGGGGACCGAACCTGCAACCTGGGCAGATGCCCCGACCAGGAACCCAACCTGTGACCTTTTGGTGCATGGGAGGATGCTAAACCAACTGAGCCACATCAGCCAGGACATAAACCCATTTTGATCCATTTAAAAAACTCATGAAAACAACAGGAAGACTGGGAAGTAGAGGGAATTTTTTGAAGTTTATACAGAGGACCGCAGAGGGCTAGTGTCTGTCTGTGTCTTCTGACTCTTAAGAAAAGCTTACCTAATGAGTCAGGAAGACAATCCAATCTTTTTTTTTTTTAAATTCTTTATTAGTTAAGGTATTACAAATGTGTCCTTATCCCCCCCATTAACCCCTCCCCCCCAACTCATGTTCTCATCCCCCTGTTGTCGACAATCCAATCTTTAACTATTATTCTCTCCTCTGGTTTATGAAGAGCCTGGAAATAACCACTGAGCATACAGGCTTTTATTCCTTAACCTTCCAGGTCAGTGTGTCTGGAGCATGGTGCATGGGGTTAGGGAGTGAAACGTGTGAATCTACTTCCTTATTGGTCAAGGGGGGCCTTCAGGCCTCTGGTCAGTTGAGAGGAGAGAGAGCTCCAAGTAGCTGCTTCTTCTTCTTTGTTTAAAAAAAATCTCATATATATATATATATATATATGATTTTTTTTTATTGATTTCACAGAAGAAGGAAAAGGGAGAGATTAAAACATCAATGATGGGAATCATTGATCGGCTGCCTCCTGCACGCCCCCTACTGGGGACCGAGCCTGCAACCCAAGCATGTGCCCTTGCTGGAATCGAACCCAGGACCCTTCAGTCCCCAGGCTGACACTCTATCCACTAGCCAAACTGTCTAGGGCTCCAAGTAGCTTCTTTAGAGGAAAGTAAAGAGGATGGAATCTCTACACCCACTTTGCAGTTTCTAAGGACAGTCTGACACAGTACAGGGTTAGAGTGCGCTCTACTTGTACTGGAAGTACTCAATGAGAGATGGCAGAAAAGCAGCCCTCGCCCCCTTCAGGAGAACGCTTTGTAGGCATACAGAAAGAGGAAGAGCAAAGGGCAGGGGGAAAAAGAGAACAAGAAGCTCATCTTTTGAAATCAGCAAAAGGTATATCCCCGGGAGTGATTTATGTGTGTACAGAGGAGGAACATTAAAAGAATAATTGTTGGCTGTTTATTTTAAAGTATGGGCAGTGAGAATGGAGGCAGGGAGCTTTATTTTCTATTTTACCTTGCTCCAACTTCCATTAGTGTTAATGGGGTCATATATTCTAGACTTTCCTTGGCCTGCTGCCCTGACATAACTGTTTGAATTCCTCGTTTTAGTATTATGTAGTCTTAACAACAGAGGGAAAGAGAAACAGAATGTTGTGTGCTAAATGATTCTATGTGCCTTATTGTGGATGGAATTTATTCTCGTGGGTCCACGGCTATTAAGATGATCTGTTCAGATGATCTGTGTTTCTGATAGCTACTTCTAGATAGCTTTATAATTTGCCCAAGGGGTTTGTTCAGGGGATGGCTACATGTATTTTTTATTTGCTAAAACAAGGTAAGTCTTAATCCTGGTTATCTGAGCTCCAGGCTGGTACAGGGACTGCTCTCATCCAAAGGGCCAATCGAGCTGTGTGTTCCCCTTGTTGTGGGCAGTCGATTGTGGAGGTATTTTACTAGGCGGTCATTTGATACGCATCGGCCCTTTTGGTGGGAGACTTAGTTCTTAGGATTACTGCTGCGGAATCCATTTATTCAATTAAACAAATATCAATTGAGTTCCTGCTTTGCCTCCAGTGTTTCTTCAGATGGGGGAATACTCTGTACAAGAAGCCGGAATTGGACTGTTCAAGGAAACCAGCAGAATTAGAATGCTAAAATTCCCGGTTTGAAAGAAACTTAGAGATAATCTACGGGTCTGAGAATAAGTGTATTCATTTTAGGGGACCACAAACAGTTTCTGATGCATATTATTCTTTGTTTGCTTTTATAACCATTTGAAAATGCGAGCCACCTTGGCAGGGTGGCTCTGTTGGTTTGAGCATTGTCCCATACACCAAAAGGTTGCAGGTTCAATTCCCTGTCAGGGCATATACTTACGTTTCGGGTTCTATCCCTGGTGGGGCATGTACGGGAGGCAACTGATTGATTGATGTTTCTCTCTCTCTCTCTCTCTCTCTCTCTCTCTCTCTCTCACCAATAAACATATCCTCTGGTGAGGATTTTAAAAAAGAGTGAAAACTATTCTAAACCGGAGGGAGGGGGCACATAGGCTGGATTTGATCCATGAGCCATAGTTTCATACTTTGCCAGTCCCTGATCTAAATTCTCCTCCAGTTTTTTTTTTTAATCAAAGGGGAAACTGAGAGCCAGAGGGTGAAATGATTACTCCCCTCATTGTCCACCCCCCGCCCCCATAGTCACACAGCTAGTTCTTGATATTGTTGGATTGGTGACCCTTTAGTAGGGTCCCCGAAGTGCCTAGTCATTTTGCAAATGGCTAGTTTTGGTACTGAGGGAAGTCTGAATTTTAGTTAATTTTTAACTTATTGAATGCCTACCACATTCTAGGCACTGTGCCTGGGATTTAGGATGCAAACTTAGCATGACAAAGTCCCAGGCATCAGTCAGCTTAGTAACTGGTGCAGATAAGATGGCAGAGTGGGAAGCGCATATGGAGACAAGTGGTGGGTGCCGGGAGGCACAGGAAGTCACTCCGCCCTCAATATGTAGATGCTTCTGTGGGTGAATGAATGAGTTCATTCATTCATTGCACCTCCCCCACTTGTGTTTTGGATGCACTGCCCAGCCTACAGGAAGGGGACAGGGTCTGGCTTCCTCCCCACTTGCTTGTTTTTCTCTTTGGGGACTCATACCTTGTATACATCCTATGTATGCAGGGGTGGGTTATGAGATTAAAAGAACAAAAGTGAAAAAAGATTCAGACCGACACCAGAGAAAGATGGTTTATTTGGCAGTTGCTTTGACATACCAGTTTATCTAAGCAGTGGCACTGAGACACATCTGAAATCATATAATATCAACCATGGAGCCTTTTACTATTCTAGAGTTGGAAGGACCTTAGAGATCACGTAACTGTATACCCTTTCATTTTACATATAAAGAGCTTGAGGCTCAGAGATGTTAAATTTCTGGGTCACACAATTAATTCATAGAATGAACCTCAGGGTTGCAAAGGACTTTAAAAGATATCTAGTATATTCACCCAGATAATAATAAGGAATAATAATTATAGCTAATATTTATTGAAAGTTTATTGACATGTGTAGTAGTGTGTATTATCTCATTTAATTCTGCCAGTAACCCAATGTAATAGGTACAATTACCGTCCTTATTTTAAAACTGAGGAAACTAAGCTTGAAGAGAGTAAGTAAAATTTGCCCAACCGATGTTTGCACAATGAGTGAATCAATGAGTCAGGCAGTTGACACTTTTAGGGACAAGTGAATGGGAACTCAGTGGCCGAGCTAGAGCCATGCCCAGGTCTTCCGATGACTTATCCTGTCACCAGTTGTATGTGCTAATATGCAGATGTGGGCCAGGAAAGTGTATTGTTCTGCAGCTGTCTTTATGGTGTCACTGAACAGTTTTGAGAATTAATGTGCACAGTAGAATTCTCTTTGAACATCAAAGGTTCCTTGAAGATGTGACAGCCTGGTTGGTTTCTCTGAATCTGCTGAAGTTTGTAGAGGCAACTGGAAGATTCTCTCTGCATGAGGTACCTTCTTCTTCTTTTTTCTTTTTTTCACAAACATGTAATTTAAAGTTGTAGTTTCAAACTATAGTCTGAGGCATCCTGGGGTTTGTGGGCTAGAGAACTGAGGGATTCTGTAAGAAAGCGTGGGCATGGACTTGGCTTTGAGCCAAATAATGCCCAAAACAAATATCTTTGCTGCATTAATTCTTTTAGCTCTGACAGATGAGAACAACCAACTCATTAGATGTACAGTAGCTTGTGATGTGTTCTTTCCTTATAAGTTGAATGTTTTTCTCACTGAACAGTGGTAATATTTGGGCTTGTTTGATTGGAAGTTTTTGAAGTCAAAGACATTTTAACACATTTATAGAGCTTGTTCTAAAAAACAAACAAACAACCCACCAAAACCTCTCTATCTAGATTACTGCTTTTTATATAAAGAACAGCATGGGCATTGTTTGCCATTCACTGTAAGCAGAGTATCTCTATATGGCATAGAAAAACTGAGGTTCTTGGATTTCAGCTCAGAAAGCTTATATCCTTTGAACATAGGCCCCTGGGTTGATTCATAACGTCAATACATAGCATTAATAATTGCTGCATATCACTTGGAGGAAAATCCACATTAAATAAAGGAGGCTTTCATTAGGTTGAGGAAAAACAGATTCAGGCTCTATTGGTAAAGATAAACCACCATTTATTTGTTTGAGGGCCTTTCAGGGGGAAGAGATGTAATACAAGATAGTCTTCTCATTTGTAGGCGTATGAGAAATCCCTTAAAATAGAAACACATGAATATTTGTTTTCTAACACAAAATATTTCAGAGACCTCCCCATGTGTCTTGCCAACGCTTTTTTCTTTTCAAGTTTCAGCCAACCACCACAAATGTTTTTTAATTATACCAGGGAGAAATCCTCACTTAGTGATTCCTTGCTATTAATACCTACTTTAAAATTGTTATTTATTTTTTAATCCTCACCTGAGGATATTTTTTTAAATTGATTTTTAGGGAGAGAGAGAGAGAGAGAGAGAGAGAGAGAGAGAGAGAGAGAGAGAGAAAAACATTGATGTGAGAGAAAAACATTGATGTAGGATAGAAACATCGATCCATTGCCTCCTGTACAAGCCTCTATAGGGATCAAACCCAAAACCTAGGTGTGTTCCCTGACCAGGAATGGAACCCAAAACCTTTTGGTGTATGAAATGATGCTCCAGCAAACTGAGTCACCCAGCCAGGGCAATACCTACTTTTAAACATTTCTTATGTATTAATAAATCTTTCTTTTAACTCTACCAGGGTTTGCCCCTGATTTACTCCACCTCCGTCTTCAGCAGTAGTAGCCGCTTTCAGTAAAAAAGGGGTAGGAGGTGGAGGACAGCACAAAAGAAGGAGAACGATCTGTTCATTATGTGCTGGCTGCTGTGTTACCAAATAAGCATTCAGTGTCACCATGTTCTGGAGATAGGTACACATGTAGGTTTCTAACTTTTCATTTTCAAAAATTTCAAATGAATAGATTAGTACAAAGAACACTCAAAAATTCTTAAATTTACTAATTCTTAACATTTTGTCACATGTGCTTTATTTTTATATATGCAGATTTATGTTTTGGGGGGGGGGCAGACGTCATGATACTTGATCTCTAAATATGTCAGTATTTATCTCCTGAGTATAAGGACATGTTTTTACATCACCACAACAGCTTTATCATGCCTGAGAAATTTAACATTGATTCCATAATACAGTCTATATTTAAATCTCATCTTTAATCAGTTAACATTTGCTGTATAACAAATCCACCATTTATTTGTTTTTCCAAAAAATTTTTTAATTGATTTCAGAGAGGAAAGCAGAGGGAGTTAGAAACATTAATGATGAGAGAGAGTCATTGATCAGCTGCCTCCTGCATGTCGCCTGCTGGGGATTGAGCCCCAAACCCAGGCATGTGCCCTGACTGGGAATCAAACCGTGACCTCCTGGTCTTAGGTTGATGCTCAACCACTGAGCCACACCAGCGAGGCAAAACCACCATTTATTAATTCTCATGATTCTGTGAGTCATATGGATAGTTCTAATTTGCATCAGGACCAGCTGATCTTGGCTGGGTCTCCTCAAAGTCTGCAGTCAACTGCTGGATCTATCAGAGGCTGGCTGGTCTAAGTTGATCTTAGTTTGGATGGCTTGTCTCTGCTCTAAAGGGTCTTCCATCCTCTAGCACAGTGGTTCTCAACCTTCCTAATGCGACCCTTTAATACAGTTCCTCATGTTGTGGTGACCCCCAATTTCATTGTTACAAATTGAACATAATTAAAGCATAGTGATTAATCACAAAAGCAATATGTAATTATATATGTTTTTTCCGATGGTCTTAGGCGACCCCTGTGAAGTCTAGCAGAATAGCCTAGGCTTGGTCCCATGGCGAATAGCCAGATTCTAAGAGAGAGTGGAAGTGTGCAAAGCCTTTTGAGGCCTAGGCTTGGAGCTTGCACAGTATAACTTCTATTGCAGTCTTTTGGTCAAATCCAGTCAGAAGCTCCTCTTGATGCGAGGAGCTGAAAGTCATATTGCTCAGTGGCCTGGATACACGGGCATGAACAATTGCAGCATTTTTGCAAACCCCCATTGTTCAAAGAATACTAATAATGTTAGTTTAATAATGTTAACAGTGTAGTTGTTGGTTTGTTTTTAATCTAAGGTCTACTCAAAGATTGCACATTAAATTTAGTTGCTATGCATCTTTAATCTCTTTTTTTATAGTCTCTTTTAATTCATAGGTTTCCCTCTTTTTTGTATTTTATGACATTAATATTTTAAGATTAAGATTCCAGGCCTGTTTTCTTAAAATATCTCACAACCTGAATTTGTCTAGTTATTTCTCCATGGTTATATGTAGGTTAAACATTTTTGGCAGGAATTCTAAATAGCTTCACAAGGAGAGGCATATATGTTAGTTTATTCCATTATTGGTGATGCTCACTTGGCTAAGGTGGGGTCTGCCAGGTTTCACAATCATAAAGGTGTCCCCTCCTGGAGATAGATTTGTATTAAGTCTGGACATTAAGTACTAAAGTTCTTCCAATCACATCAACATATATTGTTTAGATACCTACTGTATATGTAATCTTGAATTTATTACTATGGAAGATCTAAAAGAATGGTAAGGAATGTTGCCTGTCTAAAGAATATATAATTTTCTTGAGGTTGAGTTACTTTTTAAAAAACTGTATGAAGAGTACAGGAGTGATGATTCTAAGTTAATAAAACTGTTTATTGAAATAGAATGGACATACAGAGAAGTGCACACATAAGCATATAGCTTGATGAAGTTTTCAAACTGAACACACCAGTGCACTAGCACCCAGATTAAGAAACAGAATGTAAGCACATCTCAATAAGCTTGATTTTTAACTGTATAAAATGTAGGTCCAAATGATGGCTGTTCTTTTCGATAGCAATTTATGAGTGGCCCAAGAAAATCAATATCCTTTTAAGTTCAAATGGTATTATCTAACAATCACTCTTTGTACTCATCAAGCTTGAATCAGAGTAACTTTCACTATGCCCATACATTAGTCTCTCCTTCTTCATTCTTGTCACAGTGCAAAAGGTGACCTCTCTTTTCCCAAGGGTAGCCTTTCCCTGTGTAGTCTGTCCTGCCCTTCACTTCCTTAGGTCTGGTCCTAGTTCTTTCTTGTATCTTCATCTGTGTTCTGTCTTCAGCTTCTCTTCTTTTGGCTCCTGTTCCTCACCTTCTATACTTACCAGCATCCTTCTGCTTTTCCCTCTCCTTAAAAAAATTTTTTTTTATTGATTTTAGAGAGGAAGGGAGAGGGAGAGAGATAGAAACATCAATGATGAGAATCATTAATCGTCTGCCTCCTGCATGCCCCCTACTGAGGATTGAGCCTGCAACCCAGGCATGTGTCCTTGACTGGAATCGAACTTGGGACCCTTCAGTCCGCAGACCAACGCTCTATCCACTGAGTGAAACTGGCTAGGACTTCCCTCTCCTTTTTATCACCAAACTTTTAAAAAGACCACGTTCCCTTCCTCTTTAGTCCATTCATCCAAATGCCATTGAAACTTGGTATCCTTTCCCACATTTCTAAGGAAGTCCATCAGTAACTTCTGGTTATTAAGTCATACTTTGTTTTCTTAGATTCTACCTCCTTTGGACGGCTTCTCATCTTTTCTTTGAGACCACTTCTTCTAGGCTTCCATTTATTGTGCGTTCTGTCTTCTTCCAACTGCTCTGAGTAGTCCTCTAACAGTTTGACTTCCCAAAGAAAGAACAACAGTTATTCCTGCTTCTTTTGGTCTGTATGAGAATGACATTTCTTAGGTCCTTCTTTTTTTAAAAAAATATATTTTTATTGATTTCAGAGAGAAAGGGGGAGAGAGAGATAGAAACATCAATGATGAGAGAGAATCATTGATCTGCTACCTCCTGCACACCCTCTGCTGGGGATCGAGCCTGTAACTCAGGCATTTGCCCTGACCTGGAATCGAATCATGATCTCCTGGTTCATAGGTCAATGCTCAACAGTTGAGCCACACCGGCCAGGCAAGACCTTCCTTTATGGACTATGGGTCATTATGTTGGCAATTTATCTGCAGTTTGAAGATTGTGGTTTTATGGCAAACTCTCAATTAAATTGATGTAAAATCTCTGCCTGGTAGGAACTCAATACAGGTTTGTTGGAATGATTTATTCATTCATTTATTCATTTATATGTTCAATAAATATTTACTAAATGTGTAATCAGTGAATTAAATGGATTGTTAAATTTAACAGTAGGTTACATCTGTTTCTCAAGTTATATAAATAGTATGGATTTCTTTGTTTTTTTCTTTCAACTTTTGTTGAAGTTTGTTATTTGCCTGTTTTGTTTTTTTTTAATAATTTGAGCAATAAATAGCTATATGACTCTTGGATAAGTTACTTAACCTCTAGAAATAGTTTTCTAATTTTTAATGTTGGGATAGTAATAGTGCTTACCTTCTGGGTTTTTTTAAAGG